GGTTCGATCAGTTTTGTTCGCTTGAAATAATCCTTATTTCTCGAGCGCGACGCTTTCCCCGGCATGCTCGGTCGTCACGTCGCGCTGCCGATAACGGCTAAGTACGAGGAAGATGGGTTTCGGTGTCAGTGGGATGGTAGTTATGAGCGATATTATTGCACGCCTTGGCATCTCTCATCGTGTAGATCGTTGTCGTGTGCTCTCGATAATGGACAGGCAAACGCGACGCATAGTATGCGTCCCGGTGCATAATTTACGCGCAAGCCACGACCATATTCCGTTAGATGCCTTTCTACGGGTCGGGCATGCTCGCGGATAACCCTTCTGGAATTTCTGCCTGGTTAACGCGAGACGAGACTTGGCGCGGATTTACCGACATCTGATCGCGTTCGGCAATTATCAATCCGAACGCGCCGGCTTGTCGCCTTTGCGTTTACGAAATTGGACTTTCGAAAGGATCCCATTTCTTGTATCGCTGCAGCTTATTTCGTAAGATTCTCCCCTTTTGGCTTCTCGAGTCGCTCGCATTCCGCCAGAATGAATAATTCTGTCGATGTTGAAATAAACGGTATTCTTTTTACGTTGACTGTGATTTCCCGTGATAACGATCATTCAGGACCTACGCGGAGAAAATACTGCAGTGAAAATTGCAACAAAACTTTTTAATCGTGGATCATGCAAAAGTTATATGATCAAAATTATTATATAGATTAAATACAATCAAAAGAGGTTGATATAGATTTTAGAGTATTAAAATGTTGAATGGAATAATAAGGCTACACGCAAAAAAATGACTTAGTAATATCAGCTAAACCGCGGTAGCTGATTCAAACTTAGTCAAAAGACTAATAATTTAGCTGTCACTGCTAAGAATTGGCTGAAATGCATTTGCTATGAAATACAAATAAATTAGGTGACATTAAAAATGCACATTATTTCAAGTAGCTAAGAAAATGGCAGTTATTCCTAAATTTCTTATCGTATGCATATATTAAAGAAGTTTGCCGCACAGCTACAATCATTTGTTACAGTCATTTATTTCTAGCAGCTAATATTTCTCGTTGTAGCGCCTAAGTTTAAAGTTAGCCACACATACTTTTCGTAACAGTAACCGTAAGACATAACGTAAGAATTGACCAATTATGTTGAGAATCGTTGAATCGTAAGATCGCCATTTTTGTGAATACTCGATCGCAATTGGTCAATTCTTACGATCGTCGATTAATTCTTATGTCATACGATTACTGTTACGAAAAGTGTGTGTGGCCAGCTTAAACAGCGAATAAATTTAGCTTCGGTAGTATCGACATTAGCTGTCCCTATTTCAGTGACACATCTTATCTGTCACAGCTATTTTTTAGCTAATTTTTATTTTGCGTATAAAAGTAGGATTAAAATTTCAACTCGGTTATATATATATATATTTTTTTTTAATGTATTATATGTCTTTGATCTTTTATTGCAAAATTTATGTAATTATTTAAATATTCTCTGTATTATCATATATTCTCATCAAATTTATTATTTATGTAGTAATTTATGCTATAACGGTATACTCTAGCTTAACAAGAAACACTCTGCAAAATGAGATTTAATTTCCACTACAATATTTTCTCGGTACATTTTCCCCTCGCCTTTGCATTTATCCTTTAACATTGTAAGACTCGAAAAGGCTAACTGTGTACAACAGTAACAAATAAATATTTTAATATTTTTACGGGGGAATTGCCGAAATTTCGTATCATCAAAAAATTCCTTTATTATTATTGAATATGTACAAAATCTGACGATAAAAATGGAATAAATGAGGAATAAATGAGCAATGTGACAAATACAAACAATGTGACAACATATATAACAAGAATATATTTTATTTTGCGCGTATGCTGTACAAACATTAAGAAAAGATACGAATTTAGGAGAGCGGATACGACTTCGGCAACTCTCTCACAATTTTATCGTGACATATTAGGACAACTGGTCTTACCTGCAGTCCGCCTTTCCATATTGAATATCCACGGATAAACGCCGCGTATTAGCGAAATGCGTTTATAGCGAGACGCGATGCGCTTGCAGCGAGCTCAGACGCGAGCTTCGTCGTCGAGGGTGTCTTTTGCGCGAGGAGGCGCGGATCGAACATATCTCTCTTACGTCATCGAAATCCTCGCGGCCGGGCTTAGGACGAGCAAGTATTCAGCCGCTTACGCAGCTCGCATTTTGAGCGGTTGGGATTCGGAGCCGGACTGCCGGCTGCGAATCCTATCTGCGGATTACCGCAAGATTCCCGGCTCTCTTCCACGCACGCAATCGTATCCGCGCACAGAGACGGTGGCGGACCTGCTCGTTTAACTCGCTCGAGCCGAGGCAATTCGACGTGACAGCCGCGAGAGCTACGTCTCCCACGGGAACGGTGAGCTGAACAGAGCCGGGACGCGCGGCCGATGTGCAAGACCGATACTGGATACGATATCGCGTGCGACCCGGTGCGACGCGTTACGCTGGCTATTCGAATAACTGTACGCGCGTGGATACGCGCATTAGCGGCGCCTGCAATTAAGGTAATGGTCGGATAATCGTCGCGGTCGATTGCAGGAGGAATTTTCGATTCACGCCGCGCCCGGCCAACACGTCGCTCCCGGATAATCGCCGTGTGACGCAGTGAATCGCCCGTTTTCAACTTAATATTAAGTTAATAACGAGCGGTTCGCGGCCAGGCGGGCGGGCGAGCGCGAACTGATTGTTATAATCCAGGCGAGTGCGTAATTGCATTACCACGTGCTCGTGTAAGCGGACGACGTAGTAAAACGCGACGCGACGTGCCGCGTCCTAATTGAGTCGCATTACCGGATCGTGATTATTTTACGTAGTTCGTTCGGCGCAGATTGATACGGCGTGATAACGTTAAAATTATTGACGCCGAACCGCCGACATGGGAAACGTGTTGGACGAGCCCGCGCTCGTCGCGTTGCATACGTGCGGGGCGCACTATATTCAGTGTTATTGAATATATGGCGCGCTGTAGGTGCGTTTATGCGCATTAATACAGCACGCCCACAATTAGCTTAATCGCGGCCGTTTCAAGCGGACTCCTCGATTGCGCGACAATTTCGCAGGAAGAGAAAGAAAGAAAAGAACGGAGAAGAAAAAAGGAGAGCGAAAGAAGAAACGGGGAGGAGGGGCTAAAGAGGAGCAAAAAAATTACGCAGCGATATTGCGACCGCCGGCATTATCGGCGATGGTAATTCTATACGTGGAGAACGTTCCTCGCGATATTAAGCGATATTAAACGATATTAAAGTTGCAGAAGAATGCAATTATCACACGGCGATTAATCGCGGGGCCTCGTGGTAGCGCGTTGCTGCCGCTTCCGTCGCGCGCATTAATCCAAGTGGACCGACCGGCTGAAACATCGATGCAGTTAACCGTTGTTCCGTGTGATAATCGAAATGTTACGTTGAATAATTAGCGGCATGGCTCAGGTGCAATCAATCAAGCGTCGGCCGTGAATAAGCACGGCGATATATAGATACGTGAGCGGAATGACTGCGAGCACGCATGTAAATATTTGTGTACACGCTTTCGCGCACACACGGCGATGTAATGTTGCCACGCACGGGTTTGCGAAGGCGCATAAATGTAGCACCCTACATTAACGTTGTAAGTGCGCGGTGCGTTAATAAAGTCAACAATTTGGATGATGATGCGCGGCAGGTTGTCGGCCGCGACTGATTATGGGCGGAGGCGACTTCGATTAATTGCGATCACCCATTTACGCTTGTACCAAGCGACACGACAGCGACGGTTGTGATATACTCGTATATGATGCCGAAATCTTCATCAATAGAGTGAAAACACTCTTTCTGCATAGTTTACGTTTTATTGACTGCGCGAATTACAAAGTGCTCTTACACAATAAAAATATGCGCTAGAATGAATCGATGCATTGTTCAATATATGACAAAGACAATACAAGATCTCATCAGCTGGCATTTCAAGTGTAAATTGACTTGTCAGACGCTGCAAGTATATATTCGTTCGATACATAAGATCTGCGACTTGTACATATCGAATGCGAGTTTGCCTCGTTCAAAAAAATGTCAAACGACACTGCTGTACCTTTGTATATAGAAGCTTAAAAAGTATGCAGGAAGAGTTTTACATACGCGAGGTTCGATATTCTCTTCTAAATATGGTAACACAAAGCAACGTACGTTTATATGAGGTCTATATGTACAAGAATCACAAAAAGGATAGCATAATTGTGTTAGTGATGATCTTCTCTACGTTACCGACGTTTCTCGAGTTCGTTATCGATTCCAGTATTTTCTTAAGCTCGTATTACAGTGATTAAATCGCGATTGACGATTTTATAAAACAGAGCGTTGTCTAATCGGCTAGTCAATCGATATCATTCAGTTACTAGTCAATCATTCAATCGATGGCTGTTCTGATAGAAAAATAATTGTTAATTGCAATAGCTATAGTCCGATACAGGCTTTACGCATCGCGGATAACGCGCGCGCGAAAAATTCCGACACACGAATACATTTATTTTCGTCTGCGCGCACTCGTATTTTGCACATTTGCAAGTCATAATGTGCTAGTTCCGCATCATGAATTTTAACAGGATTCGCCGATGTAACGAAGTTACGGTCGCGCCCTTCTTTATTATCCCGCCGTTCGTACGACATATTTTTATTCGGCGCTTCCGCGGCCACGGCAATTTGCGTCACTCCAAACGATAATTTGCGCATCGCGTTGGCGCGGGGGCGTGGGCCGGTCTGGTAACTGATTAGTCGCTTTCGCATTGATTACCGGGCATAAACGGCCCGTACGAAATTTCGATCACGTAGACGCGCATCTGTATGCGCCCGGGCCGTTCGCATATACGTGCATTAGCGGCCGAGAGCCGAAAATTTAGATAATACGCCGTGCGTAAATGTTACGGTGTGTCCCCGGGTAAAAGCGAATGCTAATCGAGTACTTTGTGCTTTACTCACTGCATGCGGCACACTGCGGTGCTTCCTGGAACGTCCCGCGATGTATGCGCGCAGCGGGATGTAACACCTCATTCCATTTATCTGCAAAAACGTTACGAATTGGCGCCAAGTTTCGGTGCGAACAGACACACAGTGGAATTCAATGTCTTATCTCTAATGTTATCTAATTGCATAAAGGTCTCCCCGTCTCTTCGCGAACACGAGAAAGAGGGATAAATTATGCAGACGGTAAACCTATTTATAGTTGAGTCTTGATTCACACACCGAGGGGAAACGATGCACCGCTCGCGTACGATATAAATCAACGTCACTCGCGCCCCAACCTTCCAGATCTTCGCGAGAGAAATAATATAATTGACAGGTGAAATCTTCGTATATTCCCCTTGCGCCGATGTAGTTCTACGAGCCGCCCGATACGTATATATACGTGTCTTGCTGTTAAACCAAGATATCTCGAAGGATGACATGCTTGACGCGACGGCTTTCGTCGAGCGGAATTGTGTGGGTATGCTCTGTTATACTATATTATATTTACAGGCGGCTCACTGGGCCAAGATTCTCTTGACCTTAAGACCTGGGGGGAGTGAAATTATTATAGAAAGAAAGATTGAGAGAGAGACAACATATATATATATATATATATATATATATATATATATATATGTATGTATATATGTATGTGTTTACATATATATATATATATATATATATATATATATATATGTATGTATGTATGTATGTATGTATATACATAAATATATATATATATATATAAAATAAACGCATCCTTATTTCCACTTTGTCCGAGAGCCGCCGAAAGGTTGAAAGACTTGGAGGTCGTAAGACCTCGTTTTCCCACGAGGGGGAAGAACCCAAGATGTCGAAACTTTCATCCTACTTTCGACCTCAATATTCCATTTAACGTCTATTTTGATACTTTGAAACTATATCAATTTCTTTTGATTCCGTTTAATTTATTGGCTTTGCCGAGAAGTCCTCTTCAGAACTTATAAAAGTGACATTTTATGCGTTTTCTGCTATTTAGAAGCGCTAAGTAGGATTTCATTTGCTATATATATTACGCATACACTGATCCTTCAGAATATACAGAGTTAGGGAGTTCGGGTCGGACCAAAATCTCAACTCGGCAAACGCGAGAGAAGCGGAAAATCAGGCTTGCGACGAATTTCCGCGGCTGTCATTAATCGAAGTCGTCTTCATTACAATGTTAGTATTATCTTCTCTTTCTGCTTTAGCGCTAGCAAAATATTTGGTAATGAGGGCTTAAACAGTGCGCGAGATTGGCGCGTGTTGTAGTAGTGGGCGGCCAGGTCGTTAAAACAGCTGTGCGCCGTGCTTAGTGACTGCGTTAAGCTGAAAGCACCGTTTTCAGCAGCATCCATCTGGCTTCCGCGAACTCCAACCTGCCGTGTTGACGTAGAAGCGTAAACTTACTCCGGTTCTCCGACGGACCGCTTTTAGAGAGAGAGAGAGTACGCTGCGCGAGGACTGAGTAGTCGCGGCACTCTCTTGACGACGTGTTACGTGGACGGTCGAGAGTGAGGGTCGTCGGGTCGCCCCGTGTATCGTAATCATCATTAGTTTCATTGTCATGAATTCACACACGTCTATGTTACGTCAGAGGGAGAGGACGAGAGAAAAAGAGGGTGAGAGCGCACATATATATTGTCGCATCTCGCACCGGATTCGCTCCATCGATTGTCACGCAATATCCCGATGGACGTGTATCGCCATAATATCGGGACGCTTATTGTAACGTTTGCTTCGCGTTTCGTTAAATTTGTAATTTAAAGGAGGTTTTGATTTCGTCGTTCGCACGCGCGGACGAACAATTAATCGAAGCTTTGAATAACGCGATGCAAATATACCGCCGCGAAATTCTTTGCCCAAGCAATCTTTTAGCCGGTGCTTATTTTAGCTCGTTATTTCCGCTTGTGTTTCTGTTTTCGCATAAATAAAACGATAATGGCGAGAGTATTAATTTTTATGTCAATAGAGCGTGCGCACTCGCTGAACGCGCGCGCCATCACTCTCGTTATCTTCATTGAATTTTGCGGCCGCGAAGCTACATAAAGCTCGTGTGAGATGAAAATTCTGACGTATCTGTAAAATGTCATTTTTAATCCTCTTTACCTGTCATCGTTGACGCGCGCGCGCGCGCGCGTAGGCGGGCGTGCTGCATAGAAAAAAACAAGTGATTTTAGTTCTCACTGGTTGTACAAAGCGAACCGTAAATTGAAATAGAGGAACATCCGCGCACTTCCAAACTCTACTGTTCGCGTGCGCTTCTGTCGTGTCGCGTTGTTTTGTCTGGCACAAAGCAAACGATAGTGCAAATAGAAAAGTGCGCGAAGACAAACAAAGCCGGGCAAAGATGGGCGAAGACCAATCGATTTGCGAGCTGTACAGTCGACTGTACAGTCCGCTGGCCAGAGGAGACCTTGATGCCGGGGTTTCGCTTTGACGAAAGTTTTTCGGAGTCGGCAACCGTCCTGCTTACCGGCTATATAATCCTCGGAGCGGTGATTCGGAAATAGCCTCCGCGTATCGGTACCTGCGAGTACGGCCTGTCCTTCCTCCTCTCGTCGAACCTGTCGGTTATGTGAATCTCGCGGAATGCAATATATCGCGGCCGTTCATTACGTTTGTGCGTTATACAGAACGGCAAAAGACGCGCGAGGGGTTGTTCGCAGTTAGATATTATTAAGAGAGACCGGCGGCTGTCATATCGGCAGCATCGGGGAGAAACACTACTTCGCCGTGTTTTTAGTCGCGCATTATCGAGACCGAGTCAAAACGGAATAAAACATAATAAATTGCATTGAGAAAATGTTGCCGTAAATTCAGTGCCTCTAGTCTTCCTCACTCGACGACGGCTTTGGGGAGCGACTCGCAATATCGAGCGATTGAAAATTTCTGTACCAGAAGGAATGAAAAGGAGTGCGTTGAGCCCACTGATCTGTAAGCGATTCAACATCTCAGGAAGCGGTGGAGTTAGTGGAAAGAAGGCTTGGCGACCTATCATCCAAAATAGAACAGCGCAACTTGCGTTTCCTGCGACTCGAATAAAATTGACGCGCCAACTTGGAAACTCCGGCCGAGAGGCGTCTTTAAGAATGATTGAAAAATCCCGCTCGTATCGAACTGTATAAGTGCATTTCACGAACAGGTAACTCGCGACGGATATATTTCAGTAGGTGAAAGAGGAGAGAAGAAAAAAAGAAGTTGAATAAGAAAGAGATCAGACGAGGCTCGCGAGATTTTTTCCCGATGTATGGAAGATAAAAACGAGTTTTTTGATACTAATAACACCGGTGCCTAACTCTGGACATTCCTATTGTCTTACTTTTAAATACGAATATTTAAACTTTTAACGTAGAATACATGTACACGGGAAAAAAGATTGATATTCATTTAAAACTAATATATTCGAAGTAACAATCATTGTTCACATACGTAACGATATATAATTTGTTAGAAGAATTTTAAAATTTTGAATCTCAACTATATTAAAATTAAATAGTATAATAATCTCATGAAAAGCGCGATGATCATTATTTTGATGAGATAACGTAATATCTTTTTCCGATATTTAAAGATACTTTATTCTCGTGATACAATATTTTGTGCTTTTTACTCTTGAAAATTATTTTTGAATAACAGGATTCTATTTTTCTTTGTTGAGTCGTCAAAAAATCTCACTTTCAGATTTTAGAAATGAAGATTGTTCCAAAACAAGAATGTTCTTTTTTGTATATTCGTATATTCTCTATATTGAAGGTTTAAATATTCATAGTAAAGAGCAAAACAAGAACGTCTAGTCTGTGTATTATTAACGTTCAGGCGTTGATGCTTTCACCTTATGTACCTATGGCAAAAAATTGAAGCGTTTCCAAATTTCCCGATCTTGTTTAGCGAATCGAGCGACCTCGGCGCACGGTACAAACGACTCGGGGAGGCTAATTTCTTCCCGTTCGTCCGTCGTATCCACAGCTTTTCACCAATCTTTCCTCTTTGCTGCATGCATATCATCGCATATCACCGGCTATCATATATCGTCGTCCCCTCGTTGCATCGCCGTTCGATATTCCCTCTGGCTTCCAGGAAACTCGGCGCAGATAATCAGCGTAACACGATTTGTTTTTCCACATCCGTGCTGCAATCCCAGCTCAGTCGATGTCTTTAGCGGAGATTTGAAAAAGCCCGTTGGAATTGAACGGAACGCGAGAGACCCGCGGGATAACGAGGGAATTGCATTAGGGGCGAGGAGCACGGAAACGCGCGGGAAAGGGCGACTGTACTCGTCCGCGATGAAAGTAGCGTCATTGCAATCTCCGCTCGTTCGCGTAATTATCAATCATATTTTATTGTCCGAGGCGTGTGCGTGTCTGTCGCGTAACGACGTTCGGCTCGGACAAATGATCGCGTCGAACAGTATTAAGTCCGCAAGCTTCGTTTGAGTGTCGTATCGGCAAAACGCAGTTTCGAGAGAGCGATAACCAGGAGACGCTCGTTCGTCCGGCGGAGCGGAAAATTATTTCAAATCGGACTACCGTTTCCGACGTTCATCGTTGCTGTCGACATCAATGATCGGTCTTGCAGAGCGCACGCGTAAATCACAATTAATCTAATTCTGCCGGTAAGTTTCGCTGTATTTCTCCGTTAGCCACGTTCTCTGGAAACTATTAACGCGGTTACGAAACGGATTACCGTGCTCCCTCCAATCTACCGCCGCTGGTAGGCAGTACATTCACGTGGACATAAATAACGCGAGCACGCGACCAACATCGAAAAGATTATCGTGCGATACGAAAAGCTTGGCCGCGAATAGGCATTGTTTATCGTCATTATAAATTTACCATGATACAGTGGACGTTTTGCAGGCTTGGGGCAAAATTAAAACGACGTTATTTGGCCGTGCGCGCTGTTCTCCAGCGCGGATTTTTCCCGTAATGAACATTTCGTTCCGCTATAGTTAAAATCTCATACCGCCGGCGCGCGCGAGCCGGAGGAACTGTAGCTGTAATTAGCCACGCAACTATGCTTATGAATATCCGACG